TCCTGGCGGGGTGGGGGGGATGGCAGGTGGAGAAGGGGGCGGAGGAGGGGCGGCGGTCCCCGCGCGGGGGGGGGGGGAATGGCAGGTAGAGGAGGGGAGCGGGAGAGGGGCGGCGGTCCCGGCGGGGGGATGGCAGGTGGAGGAGGGGGGCGGGAGAGGGGCGGTGGCCCCGGCTCGGGGCGGGGGGGGGGGGGGTGGCAGATGGAGGAGAGGGACAGAGGAGGGCGGTAGTGAGGTCAACCCTGGCAGCCTTTCGCTCCGCGGCATCCTGTGAGTAGACCCAGGCACCGCTCAGAGAATAAAAGAAACCAAAGGTAATACTTCTTGAGGTTCGTCATTTTTCTCTTCTTTTCGTCCTTTCGTCTCTCATTACCTCCAAAAATGCTGAGAAAATGGAATTCAAGGACGGTATACATTTGCTGAAGGAATACAATATACACGAACATTGCCAGGCTAGACACTCATCACAATATTCCCAACTCACAGGAAAGCAACCGTCCCCAAAATGAGAAACTGTAGGTTGGCAGAGCCCATCACAGACGAGGCGGGAGGAAGGGAAGGAGAAGCATCTGCCATTCCCCTCCTGTTGTCCCCATTCAGTAGAAGACTCTGCCTACAACAGCCCAGGATTCGATGGGGGGGTCTCCTCTTTGGGGTTTTCAAACCCAAGTGTTAGACCCCCGCTGCAGGGTCCCCGCCCACCCTGCTGGGCAGGAAGAAGATTGCGGCGCGGTGCCGGTCCGGCTCGGCTTCCTTTAGCTCCTGGGGGTCTGGGGTTCTGTCTCCACGTGGGCCGGTCTCCGGGGCAGCTCTGCACACTCGCGTCCTTGCAGCCTCGCCGAGCGCTGGTGGAGGGGGCTCGGACCTCAGGAGCGGAGCAGGGCCCCCGCGCCACGACGCACGACCCCCGGAGGCGCAGGGCCCGGTCCGCAGGGACGTCGTGGGCCGGGGACTCGCCGCCCGCCTCTGGCCACAGCGCAAGATAGAGAAGAAGGTCTGGGGCCCTGATGCAGTGTCGCCCGGCCCGGCCCGGGACAAACGGGCCGCGGTGGCTTCCCGCGCCGGTGTCCTGCGCTTTCGGAGGGAGTCTGCACACCGCGCCTTCCCCGCCGTCCGCGCGAGCTTCCCCGAGGCCGCATCGAGGCTCCGAGCCGAATGCAGTGAGGTTGTGCGGAGCAAGGCAGCGGGAAAACCACCGAACCTGTGCGTGGGCCATGGTTGCTCAGGTCCGGGTGGCTCTGGGCGGACGAAAGCCCAAGAAAGGGACGGGGTCCGCTCAGAAACGCAGCTGCAGAGCGAAATCATGCTCGGATGCAAGAAGTTCCACCCGCCCCCGACGTGGGCTCCGTGGCTTAGCTGGTTAAAGCGCCTGTCTAGTAAACAGGAGATCCTGGGTTCGAATCCCAGCGGGGCCTTTGCAGCTCCTGTGTTTACCCGCTGGCCTAATTCCGCCCGTTTTCTTAAACTTGGACTCGCAGTTTTTATTTCTACCATCGGCCTCCCTCCACACACTCCCCAACCCTCACCCCGCCACCCCCGACTTCGGCCGTAGCAGGTAGTATCCCAAGGCCTTGGACACAAAATGGAGCTGATTCTGGTACAGCCACACGAAGCAAGACCGTGTTAATAACCAACGAACAATAAGGTACTAGCATGTGCCCTGTTTTCCTGATGTGTCTTTTTGTAAACACAAAGAACAGGTGCCCTTGGGGTTTTCCGGGGTATCCAATCCTGATTTCATGCAGTTCATGAACGGACCGGTTGAAGTTCAGAGAGGGAACTCTGTGGGCATGAGCTTTAACAGCATACTTGCCAGTGCTCTAGAGATTGTAACTCAACTGCAGGTGTGTGGGGGGCCTGGGGGGGCCATGGAGGTAGATGATTTAATCCAAGAAATGGGTGCATGTTGACTGAATGCTGATCAGCGCGGCTTACATCGGCGGGGCCCAGGGCAGAATGAAAATGTAAGGTCCCTCATCCAAAACAGGAGGGGAAGCCTGCGGCCCACGGACACCTGGGCTCCGCGGCTCTTCTGCACCTGCGGGCTGTGTGCCGGCGGTCAGACTTGCGCCTCCCTCCGCGCGTGTAAAATCGGGGCCCATCCTGCTGCGCTCGGACAGGAACCCAGCATCTCCACCGCCCTGCGTGTGAGGTTTTAATTCTTCCGAAGTAAGAGTCTGAGGTGTAGTGCGGTCGCTCTTGGGGGCATGTGCAAGCGGTCGTTTGTGGCTTGCGCCCCAGCGTCGATTCTTCCTCCTGACTGTCCCTGTAGCCCAGCAAACAAATACATAAATAAATATTTTTTTTTTAAGGAGAGGGAAGTGCCATTACAAGTAGTAATAGAATATAAGTCTTTCCCCCTTTCTTCCTCGGTCTCTCTCGACCTTTAATGTATGTTTCATTTGCTTATTTAATGTCATTCTGATTAAGTGGAATCCACGTTGTAAATTATCAGCATGAATGTTACTGTCGACCTTGCCTTCACACATCAGGATTCAGGGGGCTCGGCGATGGCTGTTTGCAGGAAGGGAAGCGAGGGAAGCCGGACGCGCACGGTGCGCTCACTCCCTTTGTCCAGACGCCTTGTTCGGTTGTCCCGTCGCACATCAGTTGCAAAACACAAATTCAAAGGTGTAATTATTACGGAGTGTCAAGATGGCAGATACAGGTCTCGGGGTTGCGGGAGCCGCCTGTCCTCGTCAACAAAAGCGCTCCACCTGCCGAAACCCGGGGTCGAACCAGGGACCTTTAGATCTTCAGTCTAACGCTCTCCCAGCTGAGCTATTTCGGCTGCCCGAAAGCAGAACTTCCCGATATTTATTTTTCAGTACCTGGATTGTTCTCAACTTCCGTTTTAGGAGATTCTGGATTCTTCGTGCTGCTGTCTAACCGTCCAGGACATTTATGCACCCAGAAACTGGGGGGAATCTGTTGTCTTCCGCCTATTTCGCTCGGACCCAATTCCTGGCAGCGTGGGCCGGTAGGTGAGGGAGGAAGACGCGAGAGAGGTAACAGGGTTCCAACGGAAAGCCGCATCTCGCAGGTTAACCCAGACACGTCTCGGAAAATTAAGGAAACTAAAGAAAAAATTTCGTGGGGTCCCATACATAAGAGAAAATCTTCGTGACCCTTGGTCAGACAAATATTTTGTAGATAGGACAACAAAAGCATAAAATTCGATAAATTTAACCTCGCCAAAAAATGTTAAATTCTGCTCTGTGAAAAGCATGTTTAAAAGAACAGAAAGGCAAGTCACAGACTGGGAGACAAGCTTTGCAAACCATATATCTGGTAGAGGATTTACATCTAGAACACATAAAGGGCTCTAAATAGTCAACAATAAGAAAACCTGATTTAAAAATACCAAAATATTTTAAGTAGAGATTTTGTCAAAGAAGTTATAAGGAGGGCAAATAAACAAAAGATGTTTAACATCAGTCATTAAGGAAATACGAATTAAAACCATAATGATATACCACTTATAACTGCAGTTATAAGAGTTACTAAATTTTTTTAAAGATTTTATTTATTTATTTGACAGAGAGAGGGACACAGCGAGAGAAGGAACACAAGCAGGGGGAGTAGGAGAGAGAGAGGCGTGCTTCCCGCTGAGCAGGGAGCTGGATGTGGGGCTCGGTCCTAGGACCCTGGGATCAGGACCCAAGCCAAAGACAGATGCTTAACAACTGAGCCACCCAAGAGTTGCTAAAATTTAAGAATGCTAGCCATACCAAATGTTGGTAAGAATGCAGAGGAAATGAAATTCTCATACACCATTAGCAGTAGTGAAAAAGAATTTCTTTAAAAGTTGAAGGTGTACCAACCCCATGATCCAAGCATTCAAATTCTAAGTATGTATCCAACAGAAAAAAAAAAATAAAACTATTATGTCCATACAAATTCTTGTATACAAATATTCATATCAGCTTTATTTGTAATAGCCAATAACTGGAAACAACCCAAATGCTTATCTTAAATGGGTGAATGGACAAACAAATTGTGGTATATCCCTACCATGGAATACTACTCAGCATAAAATGGAATAAACTATTGATACATTAAACATGGTGATTTCAAAATAATTATGATGAGTGAAAGAAGTAAAACCAAAAAAGTAAATATGATATGATTCCATTTGTATAAAACTTCAGAAAATGCAAACTAAACTACAGTGACAGGAATTAGGTCAGTGGTTGCTTGGGAATTGAAAGGCAGGGAGGAGTAGGAAGGAAGTTGAACTCAAACATTTTCTTCCTCTTTCTTTCTCTCCCCTTCCCCCCCTTTCTCTCTTTCCTCCTCTCTCCTTCCCCTCCTCCCACTTTCTTTCTCTTTTCTAGACTTGCCAACCATCTGTAGTGTGAAGACCATTTCTCAAGATATGGAATTGAGGGACGCAACACAATTGGAAATAAGCAATAATCATTTTCATTCAATCATTATCATTCATTCATTACATTCAAAGTGCTTCCTTGGTTTTCTAGAGCAAGATATCCTGGTCTTGAAGATGGCTGGTGAGCAGGCAAGGTTCACTGTAGAAAGTGAAGGAAGAGAGTAATTACAGACCAAAGACACTTGAAGAGGTGGGTACAGACAAGATGGTCAATGAAGATTAGGTAGAGTGATCTATGGAGGATAAAGACACCATAGAGAAAAAGAATGAAGACAAGTGAAACTCCCAACCTGAGATTTTCCGGAGAAGTGGTTTTCAAAAACAAAGCAAAGCAAAGCAAAATAAAACAAAATGAAGGCAATAGGATGGTAAGGAGCTCTTAGAGAAGACTGACCCCAGCTGGGAAGAACCTAGGAGGAATGGTATAAATTTGGACTTCGAATTTACTATACTTGAGTCTAGCCAAAAAAAAAAAAGTCCCATTTAGAAATTGTAGAATTAGTGTCATTGACAGAATAAATTTTCTGACACACACGAAAATGGCCTTGCCTAAGAATACAGAAGATAGTCATATTTCCTAATATATCACAGAAGAAAAAGCTCTCACCTGGGGGGTGTAGCTCAGTGGTAGAGTGCATGCTTTGCATGCATGAAGCCCTGGGTTCGATGCCCAGCACCTCCAAGGGTGCTTCCCTTTTTCCTATTTCCAATGTGTTCCATATCAATACACTCCTTCAGGGATGCCAAATCTGGTTTTCTGTTTCTGTTTTTTGTTAATTCTTTTTTTCTGCTCACATGGAAAGTAAAAATGATTGGTACGACATCAGAAGGAAGAAAGGAAAAGAAAAGATTTATTCAACATCCCTGAATGCAACCAGCTTTGTCACCTGGACTACCATTTTACAATATGACTTAAAAAAAAAGAAGATCCAAAGTAAGAGGAAGAGAGAGAGAGAGAAGGGATGAGTGGAGGAGAGAAGGGGAGGGAAGAGGAGAAGAGGGGGAGAGAGAGACTGGTGCCAATTTTTTAGTCGGAAGGCTAATCCTAAAGACAAGGGCATGAGAAAAATTAGGGTGATGTGAGCAGGATTCCAGCTGTACCTGGAAAAACACTTTGGACTGCGGTCCGAGGGCCTTGGACAAACACCTATTCATGATCCTTTATTACATACCAGGAATAGGACACATGAACTCAAACACAGACTTTTGTTTCTTCAGTAAGAGCCTGGAAAATGACAAAGTAAGGAAAAGCCCATCATCTATCTGCTTTAATTTTGGAGACAAAGTAATGTTCATCCCCCACAATATAGAACGCTTCGCTTTCAGATAAATCCACGTAATGGAGAGGTCTTGGCTCCCAAGAAGTCAGCCATCTCCTTGTTTCCTTCCCATTCCACTGTACCTGAAAAAGTTGAGAACCAGATGCTCTGCACTAGTGGAGGTAGGAGACCCCCCCCCCCTTCAATAAACCAGTCCCTGTGGACTATTTCTGCTCAGAGATGGTCCTCTGGGGACTAGAGGAACTGATGCTGTGTCCTTGCACAGATGTAAGTGATCTGCAGTTTCCGCTTCGGCTTCTCTTGAAATGGCCCCTCTCTGAAGATGCTCTGCGAGGAGTCTGACTACGGGGAGGTCACCTTGCTACAAGAAAGCCCACGCTAGAACCTGGAGAGAAAAGTGAGCAGAAAGCCATGTGGGGTAGTGCTGATGCCCCGGAGTGGAGCCTCCTCGGACCTTCGAGGCCAACCGTGCTGCCAGCTAAAGGAAGAGTAGCGAACAACCCCAACTCCAGGAGCAGAAGAGGGCCCAGCCAAAATTTCTGACCCAGGGAATTGTGAGCAAGTGTAATTAATGGTTGTTTAAAGTCACTGAATTTCGAGAAGTATGATACATTGCATTATATAACTAAAATAGTCACAGATTGGCAAAGACGGACAAAGAAGAGAAATCACCTTATCTGGAAGCTGATGGTAGGAAATGGGACTTTTACTGGTGTTGTAAGGAAAATTTAAGACCATACAAGGAATATAAATTTTTTTAAAAATGAGATCAGTTTGGGGGAATCTCATTTTTTTTTCATTTTTTATAAATACCAATAATAAGTTCTTTATCTACTGGTCTTATTTTTTAAATATTTTATTTATTTATTTGAGTCTACTGGTCATAATGGATAACTTTGAGTCCTTACTCTAAGAAGCCCTGTCCTCCCAGCCACATGAATGTCTGAAATTCAGGTTCAGGAATGTCTGCAGAATTCCAGACTCAGATTGTAATGTGCTTGGGCAGACATCCTCAAGAGGCGATCATGTAGACGTTTAAATTATGTCACATCCAAACCCAAACTATACATTTCCCCCTTATTGCTCCCAAAGCAAAAACAAATCAACAGACCAATAAGAACAACAAACTAACAGAATACTCACTCCCTCCTCCTATATTTACTATTCTTTGCACAAGGCATCACCATCTGCGTAATCCAACCTGCAGGCCTTCCTAAGTACTAAGTATTAGACTCCAACGAGAGTCCAAATCGAGTGTCAATCTACCTTGTTCCTCAAATTTCTCCCTTGCCTTTCATTATTAAATTCATTGTTTTATCTGTGCAGCAGACCCCTGAAAGAACCTCCACAGTTGCCTGCTTAGATTAGGACAGAGCGAAAAAGTCACTGGACTGTCTACATGTATGGCTTTCTCGCTCTGCGGCAGCCTGATCTGCCCCCTGACTCCTGCTTCTCCGAAGCCAGTTGAGCCAACCGGCTGAGACGCGGAGGAACGTCCACTAACGTGCTCTTGGGAAAGCTCCCGCTGGTTCCCATGTCAAAGCTGGAAATAATGGAGAGGAAAAGGAAAACAGTTCCTCAACAGGCCTTGAACTGAAACTCTTAAATCTCACATTAAGAGGCTCAAACTCCACGGCTGACCTCTACCACTTTACAACAGAGGTGCTTCCTGAAACCTAGTCGGGCTGGACACATTTGGTTTCTCCAACAGAAAGACAACGTGACCACAGATAAAACTTCCAAATTTTATACGGGATCCCCAGAGGACGTCAGCGGTTGGGGGTGTAGCTCAGTGGTAGAGCGCGTGCTTCGCATGTACGAGGCCCCGGGTTCGACCCCCGGCTCCTCCAAACGTGCCTTTTCGTGCGCTTTACCATGTTTCCCCGGCCCCCGTTAAAATAATACACAGTCCAATGCATTCCTTTCAACATTATGCCATTTCTACTCCAGGGGACGTGGTGCCACCAAGACGCAAACGTTCACAGAAGAAGAGGGAAGAAAAGAAGCCGCACTCGTCAGCCTGAACGCCGCCTGGAACACCAAGGTGCAGCCGCATCCACAGACCCAAGCACTTCAGGTCTCATTTGGCAGAATCCCTAAAGAGCAGGGCAGAAAAAGAACAGAAAAGAGAAAAAACAAATCTGTGAAGGTTCCTAGGTTTTGCGAGCACTGTGCGGTCCAAAGCGCAGGGGCCGGTGCCCCCTGCTGCCCCCGCCTCGGGGAGCGCGCCCGGAGCCGCGGCCTGCAGGCGTCAGGGGCAACCGAGACCCGCGCCGAGCGCATGTTCAGAGCATCATCGGGGAGCTGGAGACTCCCAGCTCTGCTCCATGAGCGAGCGCCCCCCGACTGTAAAGGATAGATCCTGGAAGGTGGAGCGGTTACTTGTATTCCCTATTAAATGGACTTTCACAAGACGTTTACACAAAACGTATACTGGAAGGCTCCCACTAACTCCCCACCAACCCCTTGCTGAAGCTGAATCTCAGAAACTCTGGCAAACAACGGATTTAAATTCCTTACCTTTGGCATTTCCCCGCTGAACTCTTTTGTTCCTAAATCTTTAAATGAATTAACACCTAGTGTAACACCACACCGAATGTCCAGGAGGAAAATGTGGCCAAAGGTCTTTGGGTGGGAATAAGGACAAATATATAAGTTGCTTTTATTTAAACAAACAAATTAACAGCATTTGTTAAAGAGTCGGTACAAACTACGGAATATGGAATATCAATGCTCTGCACTTTGTTTTCTGTGCAAGTCACACTTTGGGTGAATGCACCAGAATTGTTCCATTTTTCTTTGCAAAGCCTTTTTACATGCTACCTTTTGTATTAGAAAAGGATGCTTTAAAATGGAAGTCAAAATTTAAAAGATGATGTCTAAATTCCCTCATTTAGCTAAAAGCAGTTCCTCCTAGTTCCTCTGAGATCACGAGAGGGAGCAGGGATCCCTCACAAGCTCAGTTTCCTTTAGGACTCAAACCCCAGACTGCCACGTTAGCCAGCTGAGCCACAGAACCCCCTGCCAGGGCCATCTCTGGGCTACCCTCACTCGGGTACGTTGTTGTCACACTGCTGTCTAAATTATTTCAGGGCAGAGGCTAAGGGAATGAGCTTTTCTTCTCTTTGATTCTCATTCTCTTGCCTCCTGACTGGGACGCTGAGTAATCAGCATTGGAAAACAGCTTGGACCACCGTCTTCCATTTTGCCAAGCACCCATTCTTGGGGCATGATTTTCCTCTTGCTCTTTACGGCCTCACTGTACTTCCCATGGAGCCCTGAAACTGCCTCAGAGAATCTCTCAAGCAGCTGTTAAAAGCCATGAGATATAAGAAGTCGCCATAAAGCAACCAAACAGCGGCCACATAACCCGTGAGGGCATCAGTATGTAGGATGCATTGTTCCAGGGGAAGGGAATAGCTGACCCCTAGACCCTCAAAGCCCCCAGCAGAGGCGTGCATGGCCCACCCTAACTCAGGTGGCTTCTGGTTGGAACTCCGAATGTGTCACTCCTTCTCCGGCTAGTCTGGCGGTGTCACAGATTTCCCACATCATTACACCGGGGTCTCTGCACCTGCAACACTTCTGGCTGTCCCCCCAGCAGGAAATGCTGGAAGAAGGGCCCCAAAGAACAGGACCTGAAACGTTGCCTCAGGAAAGTTAGATCCAGATGGAAAAAGGAAACATCCCAAATAAAAAACAGTAATTGTATGTTGTCAGTCATTGCTATAGCAAACTCTGGAGCCCAGCATCCTGGTCGGGAAACCGGGCGGTGGTTTTGTCTGGAGGACTCTGTCTCTGGGACCCACAAAGAAGCACAGGGAGGCCTCCTGGAGGCAAGGCAAGAACTACTTCCCAGTAGCAGCTTTACTTTTATAACAACCTCCCCACCCCAACCCCCCTTGTGGACAAATACTCAAACCTTAGCCATCACAGGGGCGCAAAGAATAGACGCTTCCCTCCTGTTGCAAAATTTGTGGTGGCCAAATATGAGTTTGGGGGAGTAATCCTAAATGACTGTGTCTTCTCTTTGTTTTCATTCGGATACTTTTCTCCCTGTGCGAAATCTGTACGTTCCTGAATGTCCCAGTAAGTTGTAGATCAACTCTCCGGTTCCCCAGTCGCCTCCCCTCCGCTCCCTCCAATCAGTTGGCGCCAGGACGTCGCCGAAAGGGGCGCTTAGAGGCGAGTCGACATTCAAAAGTAACTTGGCGAATAACTTCATCGCCCGGAAGCGACCCTCCAAACACAGAGATGAAGACCGTGGATCAGAACGCAGCGGTTGCCGAACCTGGGGACCGTCCGGGACATGGGAAATTTCCCACTTCCACCTGAAGGCTCCAGTGCGCGGACACCCGCCGGCCGGGGGGTAGGGGTGGGGGGGCGGCCTTTAACTAAATGC